TATAACCGGATTGAGAGAGATTCCCTTAATTACATCGCTCTTGTTTGTAGTTAGTTTTCGTCAACGATCGAAATGTTCTTGTAATAGCTTTTCGAGCTAGGCCGTCTCATGTGTTTAAATTTAAGAAGCAAACTCGTTGTCACTCTACCATCATGAGGCTATACCGAGAGTTCTGTACCTGGGAACTTCAGTTAAAATGGAGGCTGTTACTGACTCAATATTTGACCGTTAGGATTCTTAAATTCTGCACAACGCATCTCAAGGATTCTAGCGTTAGATTTGAGTAAATGATTGCAAAGAAGGTCGGTACACTTTTCGCTTAAAGTTCTTGTTTGGGCTAACAAGGGAAGCAGGTGGTGTATCAAAATATAGACAGTCTTATTCCAGGGATCAGAATTGCACGATGGCAATGAGACACAGTTTGAAACAGGAATTAACTAATTTTGGCGCATGTCTGACAAAGCAGCCTATTCATATGGCCTATTATAGGCACACAATTGTACATGTAATGTAAGCGGTCCCAGATTATTATTCTTTGAGCGTTCTTTTTTGTCTTCTGAATATCGTGCGTTTAGGTGATTTTCGCTTGTTGTGGTTCGCCTGGTAGCATACATACATTCACAGTAGCGCACATTTTTGAAGTTACTGTGATCATTTCAGGCTCCATTTCTATTACGAGACTGATCAAGCCTATAGGATGCATTGTCGACTCGCACATCACAGGCCCGAAGATACGTCGGATGACTCCTATCATCTTTCAGTTCCTTTGTTGTACTGTCCGTCATTCCTCATAGATGTCCTTAATATATATATATATGCACGCTATGAAATTTCTGCATTCTGCTCAGACTGTGCTTTGCCCACTACGAATTCGTTTTATGAGAATGAGAAGATAGGGCCGAGGACCTTGAGCTCCGTAGTTCATCTATGTTCGTCATATGTAAAAAGTAGTGCTGGTGCAGGCTTTAACAACAGCTAAAGCAACGCTAACGATGAAAAGCTCTTCACTGCAGATTTTCTATTTCTTAGTTTATCCTACTCAGTGTGTTTGCCTTACGCTACACAAAAATCTTATTTAAATTATGGTAATATACCAACGATACGCAATACCTACGCAGATAGAAAAGCGACCCCTATTGCCAATTACCAGAACGAGAAATTGCGCTCTACGCCAGACGAGATGGCGAAAATACAAACGAGAGCCAGTGTACCTCTCAGTGAGATCTATGGAGTCTTTGTAATATCGATGGGTAGAGGAGTGTACGAGATTAAAGTACTCCTTGATTAAAATAAGTTTTCATCTATTGTGACTACACGTATATAGATTTTTTTAGTTTGTGTACAAGAAGTTAAGATAGTTGTGCAGTAGAAGAAAGAGGAGGCGTACAAAACAGCGTGTGGCAGCTTTTGCACTTTGTCTTTATCGGATCTGTGGGACAAATTTAGAGATTTTTGTTCCTATGGACAAGCAAACGTAAGCAAAAGAATACACTATATATATATATATATATATATATATATATATATATATATATACACTAGGAAACGAATGAGATTTTAAACATACGCTATCAAATCCTAGAAGTAGTTTATTGAAATGATGTAATGTTAAGTTAGTAGCCTTATATTTCTCACTTTCCGAGGCAGGTTGTACAGTGATTTTATTATTCGCACGCAGCATAAAGTTTTATCACGTAAAGCGTATCACGGACTACCGGTATTCCAATATAAGTCCCAATTAAGTTTCAAAGCTTGAATAGATTTTTCTTTTTAAGGTACGTTTTTGGATTTGCAGTTCGTGTCCATTTCTATATTTCTCAGGCCGAAAATCTCGAATGGTGAAAGTAATTTCTATCATTTCAAAGTAATTCCTTCCAATCGATGACAATTACGATGTTTAATAACATCACCAGTAGATTGTTGTGTAAGACAAATATTATTATGGTTATCAGCGATTTAGCACGATGTCATTATGCTTTTACAGAACGGTTTTCAGAGTTAATTAGCGATTTTGGTAGAATTGTTTTGTTTTTAAACTATCAGTGTAGCGATCGACAAAACAGGTAAATTCAAAATCAATGGCTCTTCCGTTGTCGTTGTTACAGAGAATAATTTAGAAAAATTATACCTTCTTCCGGTAAAGCCTCTCTCTATGATTTTGTTTTTACTAGCATAACTGACACGGTTTTGTAATCTGTTATCAAAAAAGTTACGTTAGGTAGGTAGATAAACTATTCAGAAGGATTACTACCGGCTATTGTTGTTGACGCTGTTGCCAGTGATCGCTCACGAATTCACTGCTTGACTAAGTTATCCTATTTAGCTGATGACGTTCCGATTCCGTCAAGCTATTTTTACGCTCGCCTGGGCTTGGAAATCGGAAGCACGCGGGTAAACATCTCAGTTTGACTTTGTATAACAACAACGCTTCCTATTTCTCCCGAGCTACTAAAAATCGTGACGATATTGGTCAATCAGTATGGACTGAAACACGTGCCTAACCCCCTTTGGTGTGTGTATATCTGTTACTATTAGCGTGTGCAACTAATAGGTAGTTGGCAATATTAACAAAGTCAGCACCGTCCAAGCGCACTTTTTATATAATTATTTTATGGAACATCTATCAAGTCGTGTCACAATATCAATAATATAATAAAAAAACAATAATCTATAGTTAACTATGTCGGTAGTAAAATGTAAGTGCCGATTTTAGACACTGTCATACCTAGCATTACTCAGTGAAGATTACGCTTATAGCAATAGAAGCAAGGGCAATAGATTAATAAAATTATGCTATTTAATGAAATTTATTAGCTAGTTTTCCTTCACCGGGGTTGTAAAATACTAATAATTTTTATTATTATTAGTACTAACGTTTGATAAATAACGGATGTTATATACCATTATTGACGAAAATTATGTATCATACATACACAACTGTAATATTTGTAGCTCAATAATATACAGGTAATATAACAGACAGATAGGGTAACTGATTCATTTGATACTAGTACCTAAGGGATTCGTGTATTATTTCTTGCCACCTCAAGCAAAATGCTATTTTTCTTACGGAACGTTTATAAAAATTACTTTGCTAAATAAATTACTACTTACTAAATTTTTTGGCCATTAACACAAATGGTACAACGCTATTCGGACAAGTGTATTTGTCTGCCCGTAGCTTGCCTGCATCCAGCTGCTAAATATTGATTGTTCGAGCCCATTGATCGACATAAGGTACATGTCAGCCATATATATGGATCAACGAAATAACCGCCGTACTGTTGCGGTCGCGATGTGGCGAGCATTCGAAGAATGGAAGTAATCATGATTGAACGATGCAGTTTTATCGACCTTCTATCCCTTTATCAATTGACCAATTTCACTTTTTCAACAATAACATAGTTTATATAAATTAAATTTCCAAATGGCGTGTTAGCATATTTATTAAAACGCTGAGTGTATTGCTGTGGATACGGATAGCGTGGGTCATCGTTTCTATTAAATGTCTACTTTATGTCATGGTTAGGGGAGAATAGAAAGACTCACCGTAGCTGGTGTTTGCTTTTTCGTGCTGGGTATGTAGTTTAGCTCTGCTTTATAATTACTCGAATTGAAACCGTTATACGCGTTTACTTACTTTACTACTAGAGTAATATCAGGCTCCATTACTAAGCAACGGGCAGATGGACTTTGTTGGTGAACTTTTTGATTAACACTGGGACGGTATCACAGGGCTCATTGTGCTGCGCCCTTTCAGGTGCTTATAGATGAAGAAATATGTTGCAACTCTAAGATAAGAAGGTGGCGTCTTTTAGGCCAAATGGTGGAAAGTTTCGTCGTGAACTCAATTAGACAGTGTAATCGAAGCCCTCGGTTATGATGACTCCTTGCTCTAAGGTGGCCTTCACTGGAATTCGCTAGATTATTTTTATGAGGCGTCTTCGAATGAAAATACAGAAGATCCCGATAAGAGATCATTAATGTGCTCACTTGTATAGTGAAGAAAACGTTTTTGAAGATTGCAAATCGAAACAAGAATGTGCACGGTCCAGATCTTGATCTGAATCTGTACTTGCCATGGTGAATGGTGATGATGCCGAATGAGCATGACCGGCGAAAATTATACTTCCAGCGCATGAAAGAAACACATTGAAATATTAGTATCTATTCAGACGCAGTCTTAGATAGTTCGTTCATTGTGTATAGTACGCGAATAGCGGGAGAAGCCAGAAGATCGTCAACTAAATCTCCGATTAATAGTCAGACGCATAAATAAAAATGTTTTAACGGTAACTAGAACGCTGTATATATACCGTGCTAGGCTAGAGCACAGGTGTATGTAAGTAGCTGCTATAAAAGCCAACTTGCGAAAGACAAACTGTGCTTAAGACCAGACGAAGAGAAGACTTGCTCGTGTGAGCGAACTGATGCGAGGCACCCCCGGTGATACCAAAGATCGCTAGTTATGCCATTTGCTAGATAGCTTTCGGGACAATAGAACTCATCCAGCATGTGTTCAGAGACGTCTACAAAACGCAAAATAGAGCTAGATGCACTGGTCGTAGAAGGGCACAAGATAAGAGCATTTCGAAGGATAAGCGTGACCGAGTTCTAATAGATCAAATGTTATAGTTTATACTTTTTTGTTTTAAATTTTATTTCTATCATTTTTTTTCTCCTTTCCAATTTTTTAATACATTTGTAATTGAAAATGTAGGTAAGCATACGCCTTTATCTATATAAGCGCAGAGCGAGACGCATTTCCCTGCCAGCCGACGATGACGCAAAATCAGTTTGCTTGTTTTATATACATAATGTCGATAAAGAAATTAAATGGCTTTTCGTGCATGCGTATAGTTGTAACATATGTACAAGACGCACCATTTACATCTAAACTTCAAGAGTTACATCTAGACATCATCGCTTGTAGAGCTGTGCATTTTTTGAAGCCTTCCGAGGACAATGACTAACAACCTGCATCCTATCTGCTTTTTCAGATTGTTGCCTTTATGTCAATCAAAATGTCACCCAAAAAGTGGTCAAAAAATACATTCGGTTGGGCACGAGCTGAGGTAAGTTCATACAAATTCAAAAAGTTCGAAAATTACACTTTACGCCGTCTTGATGCTTCTTATAATATAATAGTAGCAGTCTTTTATAATTTCGCGTCCGTTACCTTAAAGATTTGTCATCAGTATATTGTAATTCCAATTACGTGTTTCCGATAAATATAAATCCAAAAATAGATTTGGATTTATTAGTAAAGATGGGGTCAGTAGCTTATTATGTATAGTGCATTTCAGGCTTGTTTTTGAAAGCTTAGTTTTTTTTACATCCTTTGTATTACTTTACTGATTCTTAGCTGGTGCCCATTTCGTTTGGCCAGAGAAAAATTGGCGCATTAGACTACAGTCGAAATCCCTACCTTTGCAAAAATAGTGTCGCATGGAAAATTGAAATTAAGAAAACTTAAATTATTTGCCGAACTGGTTGGTGGAATTATGAAGAGCTACGATCGTAAAGAACGGAATAAACAATAAGCCCTCTAATATAATGACAATATACTCCCATAAACTACGGACTGTATTTACTTCAGGGCAGTGTAAGATGATGTCGCAATTGGATAGCAATCCTAGATATGATGAATAGAATCGTTTGTTTTGTTATACAATGTTGATCGATGATGCGGTCACTTTTTAATAAACGTTTTTATCATGTTTCTTATTGAACTTCACTATAATCAATATATTTCAGGTCCTCGGGGCTCTAGTCAATGCGGTGTTTCTAGTGGCACTGTGTTTTTCAATTTTCGTCGAAAGCCTGAAACGGTAAGTCAAGACGCCCATCCAGCTTAGTTCGTTTGTATAAGAACGCACTTATAATAGAAATATAGGCAGCAAAAATCAATTGAAAGCAGTTTGAATATGAATTACTCAATATCCTGTCGTTAGACCCGTTCCTCTTTTCACTAAAAGCCTCAAATTTTTAAATATTCGAAAAACATACTGAATTTTTCCTCGTTTTAAGTAAGTTATGCATTTATTAGGTTACTGAAGACGCATCTGACGAGTAGATCTATCACTCAGTGACGAGTTACCCTGTTTCCTGCCGACTCGGCAGGAAACAGGGTAACTTATGTTGTTTATTCTAGTGAGAGATGAAATATAACTCGGAATTGACTTTTAATATCAGTTTTCGTTCGACTGTCGTCTTATGATCAGTACAAGCGGTACCCCCTTTAAAAAGGCGTATCTTATTCTTAGTGATCTGTGTGTGACATGAGCACCTATTACCTTAACCTGCAGTTATTATTGCATGGTCGGGTTTCGGTAGCAGACGAGCATATGGCTTCGCTGCGTAAATGTACCGTATATCTAGCCAAAGGTCGGCCTGATATTATAGCTGAGCTCGGGTATCGGGTCACGCTATTATCGAGTCGTTTAGTGTGAACAGTGTCATAATGGACTCTTTAGACTATTTTTACAGGCTTATTTTTTATATTCAGTTAAGTATGCAAGGTCTGCGCATCTGTGACCCTCTCTAATCTATGTATTCCTCTGCTGTACTGGTCTGGGGTACGAGAGTCATAATATATATATATATATATATATATATATATATATATATATATATATATACAATTTAGACATTATGTTAAAATTTAAATAATTTCCCCATCAAAAATTTAAAAAAAGAAAAGAAGATTAGCTGTCTATTGGAGCAGCGTCTAGCGAAGATGATGATTGTGATTTTTGCGATGGGCGGCCGAGCGTTGTCGTACAATAGGACTTATTATAGGATATTTATTAGTCCTGGCTGGTTAATGTTTTATATTATCCTTGCTAGTTGTTGATAGGATATGTCAGCTGCATTCGACGCCAATATTCATGAAGCCTGCATTAGACTGTAGCAGACGCGATAAGCTTCTGCAGTTGTTTACATTTAGTGTATTTACTTTGGAGCGATGTCGTGTAAATTCAGTTACGTTCGCCTGCTAATGATACTGCGTGCCGTTATCGTACAGGACGCATATCCAATCAGAAATCACCATGTGATGCAAAAATTGGTTACTACTTCAAAAGTAACAGCAACGAAAAGCATGCGTTTCCGAACTTTTGTGTTTGATCCATGCGGCTGTTTTTTTTTTTTACCTATCAATTTGATCGAGCCTCACATACACATTAATACCCCAGCAATTTTCTGATTGGTCGAGTTCCACCGGCACTCTAGCTTTTCGTTATTTACCTTTGCAGGGATTCTCTCTTCCACGAGACTCATCTCTAGATCTGTTTCTGAAATTAATGCTTTCGATGTCCCTAGCACTGACCTTGACCGAATACCAGACTTATACGGCGAGCTGACCCGATTGCGGCGGTTCCAAGACAAAACTCAACTCATATTCGTAAACGATTCGAATGTTCTGACCTTTCGTGGGTCACTACAACTCGCCAGCTAAAAGCCTGAGTGATGATATCGGCCTCAGGTCTCCGGGAGTAGAAGTACATCTCACATAGAAAAAGAGGTGTCGTAAGATGTCGTACTGCTTGCTATAAAAAAAAATAGTGGCGTCTTGAAAGATCATATGGGGGGTCTGCCACGTTTTCACAAGTTTTTTATACCGAATGACTTAGTGCGATAATTAGTACGTCCTAGTACGGATAACGTGATCGTTCAAAATTTCCGCATAAAAATGCAAAAAAAAAATGATTATGTGATTGAACAAAAAGAAAGATCTTTGCTGCTTTAAAAATTTCTGTGATTTGTATAAAAACGTAAAGCATAACTCTGGAAGTTAGAATCGTTAGAAGATAGACAGAATATATAGGTAGAATCATTCTAAATATGCATCATGTTAATATTATGCGTCCCGACGCCAAGCAACTCAATTTTGAGACACAGACAGTTTTGTTTTGAGCAAAAGAGATATTTTCTCACTAATCATAATAATAATAAGCGTTATAAATAGAAGCAGAGTTCCGATTTGCACGTGTCCCCAAGGAATGAATCTACAAGGTGAATCCAACTCCGCACCTGTCTCCTGCTGGACTATGAAGTCTACAGCTGTCAAGTCTAAATAGAGTCGAGAGTTGTGGACAATCCTGGCGTCATTCTTTTCACTAAACGGAACCATAGGAGCAATCTATCCATAAGCCGCTTAAAAGTGGAAAGACTGGCTGAAATAGCGTTCATTTAAGCTGACCTTTTTTATACGTTTGTGTTATTTAAGTTAAACAATACAAAAACAGTGTGTGTGTGTGTGTGTGCGCGCGCGCGTACGCTTCGCATTAAGCACTTGATGATTAATAACGTTTATTTTCTTCCATTTACTTCCGTTTACATTGTTCCATTCTCTGAGCAGCGTTCAGACGTTTAACTAGTTCACCACGTATGAGTCAGACACAGAGAGCTAATGTCATGAAATCATTGTTGTGCTGACAGACATTTTCGGGTCAAAGAGCCTTTGTAAATGCTGATTAGGAGCGACAACTAAAAAGATTTAACACGTTTCGTCTAGACATAAGTTAAACATGTCCCGAAAAAAACTTCATGCATAGAGGTGGTAGGGACAAAGTTGTTAATTTTGTTAAAGTGGTTGAATTATGTTCCATTATTTTTAATAGAACCATATTATGATCTCTACACTGAAAGGCCAAGCCATATGTGTTGAGTTACGGTTGCACGTTATTTTCATACATATCTAATTTCGATTATATTATATGATATTTTTTCTACCCATTTCTCAAGGAGAAGGTATCGTTCCAAGCTCGACTTCAGTTCTAAATCTTCCATCTATTGCATTGAGCCCATTAAGCCATGGTTGATGTCAGATTACCATAGGAGATAGTTATTACATAACCGAATTCGGGCCTCGTCCAGGACGTGCAAAGGATGTCCGTTTGAGCATTTCTTTGGCGTGCTAAACCTCGATACTTCGTTGATAGCGACCAAGGCAACTGTGAAGCGGTGAATGCGGCATAAACCCGTCTGTCTAAAGTATAACTGATTGACTAATTGCTAGATAGACTAACTGGGATGGGTGCAGCGGCGGCATCGACGGGAGAGTTCTGATAATTAGGAAATTAAGTCTTCGGCCGCGGAATTTAAGCTAACTGAGCATCACACTTCGGACAACATTTTATTATGAAAGAATCCTGTTTGAATACCGAAGCCACCAACATGTTGAATCAGAACCCCTGTCGACTGCATCGGAAGATTAAACAACACGAACACGTAGACGTTCGAATACTTGCTTCCGATGTCTTCTGACAAAACGAACGTCTCCGTCGACAAAAAGTACTTACGAGCAGCTAGCGCACCTCATATTATATGGTATTGCACAATTTATCGGTTAACGACTTACCGCCGACTATTATTTGTCCAGTTCGGTAGGGATACTAGAATACTTAACGTTTATAATACCAGGCTTTTATTATAAATCAATTTACTGGTCTAGGGTGACGAGCTGAAAGTTGTACTGAAAAAATGCTCGCCGTACACATCGGTACGCTTTTACATCTAGTTCTACAGCTGACTGTCAATTGCCATATCAGTAACCTGTTCTACACTGTTCAAACTTACTACACGCACAAAAACGTCATTTATGTCAAACATAAATATGGGTCCGGTCTACGATCTGAAGGCATAAATAGTTGTAGAATTTCTATAATTATTCTCGACGTGCGAAAGCAACTAACTAGCAATGCAAGCAGATTTTTTTCCTTTCACATACTGTATATTTCTCTACGAGAAAATATAATTACTAGTAACGAAAAAGAACGAGTAGGTAATAGCGGACGCCCTATAGATAGCTGTGTTGATGAGGAGACTAACTTGTATCGTATTCTACAATTGCGGTTTATTCATAGGGGTATAATAACCCTAAGACAACAGCCATCGTACCTTTCGCATACGTACGCGTATAAAAGCAAGGATTGCTGAAACGGTGACGCTGACCAACCGTACAATATATTAGAGCTTGTTAGAACTGAAAATTAGCCGTTATTATAATTGGCAAACAACGTTTCGACCATAAACAACTATAGCGCAATAAGCTATATTATGTTAATGCTTTTTTCAATCGACGCTTTTTTGCTGCCAATGTTTCCGCCCATGCTGTTCCGGTAGCATAGGCTACAATATGTAGAACGAAAATGTTTATGACAAAAAAATATCGAATGTATTCGTACGGTTCCTTCCCTATTTCAACTGTTCTACGTTTACTTAAATACGATATCAACAGGGTGGATTCTTTCATCTTTTTTTTGGCACACGTTTAGCTCCAGCCGTTATGATGCCAGTAAAAATCTTCCCTTTAAATTTGTTTACCGGCCGTGGATTGTCGTAGAGCAAGAGGAGCCCACCTTATTAATATTATATTTAAGTAAAAGCTTAATGTAAACAATGTGTCACAGAGAAAATTTATATGAGTAAATTTAGCCACTTTTTGCTTTGAAATTGCTTTCGACCAGACGATCGTTCCTGCAAATAGCAGATACGTATTGAACATAGCATGACAATAAAATTATTCATGGTACCCCAGTTAACAGTTGTGGCTCGGCAGAGTTAGATATTGAGTAGAAGATATTGCAGACAACATTATTTGAGCGTGTTAAACTCGTTGATTTTTTTAGCTAATTTAGTGAATTGAAAAGTAGAACTTTATTCGTGGCGCTCTAGTTCTTATTGAATGACTCTGCTTTTTTAATGTTTATTTTTCTCTAATCTTCATTATGATCATGTGTCTCCAGATTCTACAAGCCGGAAACGATAGATGAGCCAATGTTGATTCTTTACGTTGGAGTGGCAGGTCTTGTAGTGAACATCATCGGACTTTTTCTCTTTCACGGTACGTTATTTACGTGTATTCCCTAATTGCTAACAATTTTGGCTATGAATAATCAGGGTACTGCTATGCGCATTTACTGCTCTCACACTGGCTGAAGACTGATCCTTTCATTAGCAAAAAAATTAGCACACATCGAAGCGGTAGACCTCTCCAGTGGTTTTGCGGCTCCGTGTTAAAGCTCACACTCATTTATATACTCAGTATATATAATCATACTTAGATTTTAGTGCGTTGTAGATGTACAGCGTAACTATTTAACGTGGTCATGCTATGTAGCTGCTTGTGTATGCTACGTTATGTATTTTCACCGAGGCCGAATAGGAGATTTTCACATATAGGTCTATCCACAACGCATACGTACGACTCGCATGTAATTTTCAACTTTTTATTCAAGAAAAAAAATCAATGTCGAAGAGTGATTCATGCCTCAAAAAGAACGTCAAAACATGCGTCCAAACGTTCTGACAGCCCTTTTTTATATCTAAGCTTTGCTTTATTGCAAAGGTCAGCTAAGCAACTCAGTTAAAAAATAATAAATACTAACGCGTCTATACAGATAGGTTTATCGTAATTGCTGAATCGCGTAGCCCGTAGACGTTTGTAAGATTTGTCCAGTCTTTACGTGACCATCATGATGGCCTTTGCTTGTTTGGGTGACAGGAGTAAGACTTATAGAATGAGAACGGAACGTAAGTCTTTTTCTAGCAGTATTATAAATAGGACTCAACCAGCCATGTTAACTTAACCAGTATACAGTAGACATGAATGATCTATGAGTGATAAAAGGAGGAGTGATATCATACATTTGATTATACTTATTGTTCTATCCATTGCAGAGCATGGCCACTCTCACAGTGGCCACGGTGGGCACAGTCACGCCCATGGAGATCACGCCGGTGGGCCAAAGGGAAGTCCGTCGTCGTCGAATGGTGCCTCACCTCACGATACTCCTCCACTTAAACAAAAACGGGCTAGTGGCCATATGTCACATCATAGGTAAGAGAGTTCACCAATTGTTCGGTGAATTTGGAAGACATTCAGACGACACATTTATTGCATTGAACATACTAATCTATTTTAAAGGTGACTGCCTCATTATGGCTCCAAACACCTTAGCAGGTGCTACTAGATATTGAAAAACTGTTGTAGTAGAGGGTTTCAGGAGCCCTCCGAAACTTTGAACAGCCCAAAGCGACAGTGCGGCGGACCTCTTCGAAGTCAGGCTATGACTACTAGCTAGGTTGTCTAGTTATCATAATAGACTATCCTACCCCCTGCCACGTCAATTAACGAGCACCTAGTCTCGTGGGTTAGCGTTAAGGACAACTGGCCTGAGCACGTTCATGTAAACTGCGGTATCCTCTAAAAGAAACATGCCCGATGTCGATGCCAGTGGGTTTTCCATAATGTATGAGATGGTTAACTCCTTTTTGATTTGAGTGACCTTTTAGAGTGTAAGGTTCGATTTGAATTGCCAATTGTGAAATACAGAAAAATGAAGTCAATGGACAGTGCCCAGATTATAGATAAACGCTTCAGGTTAACTACTGCCCATGCTCAGCCTATTCTAGGTCATCTCGTGGTGACTTAGGGCTTGATCATATCGAATGCCGTCTCATAGGACAATTTTGTTCAAGATTTGTGACATGTTTATGAAAATGCGTCGAAGACCAAATTGCTAGTCAGGAATATGACGCAAGCCGCCCCAACCAGCACTGTGCAGATGCTAAAAAATGTCAGATTGCGCAAAGGTACGGCTTCACTACACGTTTTGTGGCAAAAGAGACAAATAAAAGCTCCCAAATTAACATAATAGGGTAAACCAAAGAGTCTACTTTTAACATAAACAATTTGAATAAAGCAGACAGATTTGATATTCGAGGAAGAAATCCTAACCACCAAATTGTTCCTATTAACATCACCCCTTTCCTCCCATTAAAAGGGTATTTTTTTTTGTTAGCATATATTTTCATCACAGTTAGGGCGCATCGGATAGTTACGATGAAAACGGCGGAACACACATTTTTAAGTAGGCGATGTGTTCATTATGTATTTAGTTTAGGTAAATGGGTGTTCTCATTAGTCATGCATAAAGACGCGCAAGATAACATTTGCAGGGATCATATGAGCATACCATCGATCGACGATGGCCTCAAGCAGCATCACAATAATAGACTTCAATACGACGATGACGAGGATCGCAGTAGTGAGGTTGGTACTAAAGCTGCTGTCAAGCGAATGTTTTGGTTTTGATATGCTTAGGTTCAAGTACAGAAAATAATTTATCGGGAAGATCATTACAAAGGGCGAAAATTACAAAGGGCAACATGTTCTCCAGCTTGTGCAGATGTTTCTTCATTCACTGTTTGTTATAGCGTTGAAAGCTGTGCATTGGATTCGCGGATAATTATGGCAACCGATTTCGTCTTCCTAGGTTAGGTTAGGTACATATTTCATTATACCTAGAAGCGAATTCTGTGGATAAGTAGTTTGTTAGCGTTGCTATAGTAAAGGTCATCACGTTCTAAATGAAGCTCTATGGTAGGGTTATGGTGAGTGAACATTTGGGACACAAGAACTTCCTTACTTACTGCGCTTTTCGCATAATACATTGTCTAACATTGCTTAGTATCAAGTTGTTTCATCTGAAGTACTTGCACGTTCATCGAATACAGCCCTATCTTACCAGATTTTAGTAATATATCGCTGCCAGTATAATCTACTAACTCAGTGCGGGATTCTAATACATTTAGTAAATAAATCTTTTCGATATGCGGTCGTTTGGCATATATATCTGTACACAGAGCACTCTGTACATGTGTTGGCTTCTCTGCTCTTTTGAAGCCAGTCTGAGGCATTGAATTAGAGGCCATTGGCAGGTCTTAACATTGATTTTCAGCCGTTTTACTTAGTGATAATGTACATACTACACACTTTGCGGCCACGTCTAGTTACACGTACTTCAATAACGTTTGAACCCCTCGCGCTATCATGACGAGATTCGTAACGAATAGAATCAAACGCCAATCCTGAAAATTCCCAGTGTATGTCCTAACGATACACAGCCTCTGCGATACAAACTATGATGATGGTGATAATAATAATAGCACCTAAGTGGACGGAATTGATTGATCTAGTTACTGATTGAAGTGTCCAAATTATTTGAGCCTTTTCGATCTGTAAGCTCCTATAATCCCATGTTTTGTTACTGCTAACGTTTTTTGACTAATATTGGCTTTTTTTCTTTCTTTTTTTTTCTTTTGTCTTTTCGTTCTGTTTTTGAATTAATTTCTAGGACAGTGAGGTGAGTTCGCTTTTCCAAACTACTTTTTTGTTGTCCAGTGTTCATAAATCCGTTAGCATGATCAGCCATTAGCCATCTAAAAGGAATTCGTTTCGCCTGCTTGATTGCTTGGAGGAAAAACGAGAATTTTTATGAGTGTGTGAGTGGAGAAACACGCGAAGGTGGCCTTGTTAGATAGGCGCTAGAAGACATACTACCCACAGTAAGAAACACTTCTACCTTCGAGCATTTCTAGCTCATTCAGACACTTACCAACGCAAGTCCTCTTTAGTCAAAAGACGTTAGATGATCTCCACTGACGGCCGTAGTTTGTACACTCTGGAAAAATCAGCAGAAATTTGACAGGGTTAAATAATGATAGTATTAATAATAGTTTGAGACAACGGGTTCAGAATGTTGGAAATATTATAAAAATGATAATAACGTTATGTGATATTAACAAAACTTGCTTCCATGTCGTTGTTTTCCATCCGCGTGGCGCTACAATATAGCAATGTTGCTATCGACAAAGTAACGTACAAAATGAGATTTTTTCTAATTGATTTACAAAAGTGTGTATATTGATTGATGAATCAATACGATTCGCATTTAAGTCATCTAGACCGTTCCTTTTGGCTTTACTTTTTTGTTTTTGTTTTTTTTCTACTGTTATTGCTGGCTATAGTCAACTGTGCGAGACGTATTTTTGCCTCCCTTTATTATTGCTTTATTAAGAAGCTGGACGGACACTCATATCAATCCTAGAATGAGCAGCCGTATTTCTATTCCACGTCACGCATCATATATCTAAACAACGCATAGACGAGAAGTAGTACGCCTTTACGACTGTGCGAGTTGTAAGTGTTTTATTTAATAGGATATTCAATATCTGTTGCGATTAAAATCGTGCTTCTTTTCGTGCGTCCGTCGGACCAATGTTCACCGTGCCGCAATATATATATATATATATATATATGTGTGTGCGGAAAAGGTAGAAAACATATTATGTATTCTGCGTTGGTGCAAGTTAGGCACAGAAACAAGTTGTAAGTCCAATGCTACAAACTAGTCACTCCTTAAATTTTTACCTGTATTGCCGCCACTGGTGCTGCTGCTGCTGCTGCTGCTTTTCAGCATACGTTTGCTTGTATCTTCCTATCGGTGGAAGCGGCGTATAGATCATGGTAATGCCGTGCATGCTTATACAGTTTTTGTACCGATTATGTATAATTATAGCCGATTTCCTTATAATCGTTAACTGTAGAAGTAACAACAGCAACCGCAGAAAGAATTCTGTTGTGATGGGTAGAACAAAGTCTTAAACGCCTACAAGACCAACAAGAACGTCTGATTGCTTTGTTACTATCGGCATGATATTACAACGATAACCACGTTTACGCAGACGACCGTTGAACCTAAATTGATAGCCATCCAGCATGACGATTACTCACAAAAGGAGAATGTGCCTCAATGCACGTAGGACAAGGGTAGCTCCTTCCAGTGGCTGCCTGTTCCCTAACGTACGTAAATGAAATGTTTGTTGCGAACCGAAGTCAGGATCCCCGCCTTCTGTCAATTTTTATCCCGCTTCAAAACCCCATGCTGAAGGACACAAGGACCGCTGAAGTTTTCTACTACAGCAACTGCTACATACCTCTAAATAGATTCATACTATAGTAGCAATTCAAATACTTCGATATTCTTTTCTGAGCTGTCTCTAGCCGGTACATAAAGCACAATCTTCGTGGCTACACCTAAGTTTTAGGGGCTTTTATTTATTACGCTAGTTTTTGCTCCGAATATATAAACTTACGCGCACGTACTACAGAGCGGGCATGCACCCGTGAACAGCAGCTAAAAAGCTATTGATGGCAGTTAGAATATATACTACTCTTTGAGTCTGCTCGAACATCGTTCTGATTTGGCGATCCTCAAAAGTGCAATTCAGTTAAATAATTCCTTAAATGTTAAAAACGACAATGAGGCAACTATTTTACTGATTTATTTATTGTCAGTTTTCACTAATGTGTACACTACCGTTCAGAGCTAGGTCGAAAGAGGCTAAAGTAAAGGTAAAATAAAGAAATGCTTTATTAAAGGAAAACGACAGGGGCAATCCACCTAAATATGCAGCTTCCGGCTAACGACTTAAACAGAAACGGTTCCGAGTACGTTAAATCAATAGAACCGATGATCCCATTAGTAACGTCCATTACGTCGTTTTAATTTGATTAGTTTTGTGAAGCTTTTCTGCTTTATTATGAAGAATATGTAGCCTCTTGTGGGCATCGCTTTTTCGCAGAACGCTAGTACTTTGACCGTTATTGAATGTCGTGTCAACTTGACGCGAGTTTAAAAGAGCTAAGTTGTAGGTAGTTGAAAAACAATAGAGCTTATTACAGTACGGTAATTCAGCATAATAATAACAACAGTAACATTTATATTGCCTGAATGGATTTGTGGAATAGTGATTCTTTTGAATAACCTTTTTTGTGTTTCTTGTTGTTTGTTTATGTTCAGGATAGTGAGGTGAGTGCCTAGAGTATTTTGCTTGTTTTTATTTGTTGGCTTGTAGAATTATGTAAAGACGCTTGTTATACCAGCACGATGACAGCAGCATGATGGTCTCTCATAACTGATTTTTTGGAATACGCTTCTTCAATTCTGTCATCAAAAGCAAGAAGGTTATGTAGCTTCTATTTAGAAACATTACATTTTCAAAAGCCTTCGCCTCATTCATTTATTGTTTGCCTGTACGTTAATTCATGTCAATGTTGCGACAAGCCCAGGACACGTTAACGTATACATATATATATATCCTACTCATATGTAATGGAGATACGTGCCAAAAGGAAAGTATCGATTGAGTATAGGGAGAAACGGGGCCTGAAAGTCGACTTTAACTTTACTTAAGGTATCTTTTTTACGTTTATCTTGGCTCTCTTCAACTTTCTTCGTCACCTGGGACCCTTTTAAACGCAATGAAACCTGGACGCATTGTTGATCTATCCGTAGACTAAAGCTGTTAAGCAACTGAAACATCCTGTAGCCGCGGGCTATTTGAATATTCGTGGGGTATATCTGCATATCCTAGCGGACGCGCTCGGTTCCGTTGTCGTGATTGTGTCGGCGCTTATTATTTGGCTCACCGATTGGGAGTATCGGTACGTATTATTGCGCAATAGACGTTTAAACGACGAATTCGACCATTATTGATGGTAAAAGACACTATAGGCATTGCACAAAGTATGCAATCGAATTATAGAATACCTTTGTTCACCGCTTTTTCCAATTCTTACCGAGAAAGATCAAAAAGGCAAACATTTGTATAGATATGTATGTGTGTGTTGAGTAATCGAACACATCTAGTGGTTTATAATATCTACAAAGCGATATATGCAAAGCAAAAATATATACACCATTTTGATAAAATAACATTTCTATGTGTTTCGAGGATGCGGCAGACGACTGCGGGGGTCGTGGGGTCTATCCCCATGATTTTCTATTTACTCCATATACGATATCTGCCTTGTTCCATGATTGATATAAAGCTTTCAAATCAGAAGCGTCATCTTTTGTAGTAAGCGCAACCGATTTATTTGTGTTCCCGTTTGTACATTACAGATATTTTGTAGATCCGGCATTGTCATTGGTGATGGTGTGTTTAATAATGAAATCGACAATGCCACTGCTTGTTGATTCAGCGCTCATCCTACTTCAGACGGTACCGACGCATATACAAATTGATTCATTACAGGTAAGATAATCGTATCTACTAGCCAGACGAAACTTCGTTATGATAACGCTAAATGTTCGAAGGTGGACTGATGCGCCCGAATTCTTGCGCAGAGCCTGAAGCTGGCAATCCTTTAAACGTAGAGGGATCTAGTACACCGAAATGATTATGTCCAAGCATCACTCTTGGCCAGTCGGGTTCTCTTACATCTACTACGAAGGGCTCGTTTACCTCACTAACTATAGATTGCAAGCACAGCACTTCTACATGCCTTTGATAAACTATTCTGAAGGAGACAGATAAAGCCCAAGTAGCTGGGAAGGACTTAAACAAAAGAGCTTTCTTATATATATATATATAAGAAAGCCCTTTTGTTTATATATATAGCTCTGTAGAATATATATAAATAGAAACGAGATATATGTATATTTTTTTCCAGTTTCAAGAATAGTTGCACGGCTCTTAATCAAGATATTGTCAAATAGTGTTCGACTTCGAAGAGCGGCATTATTAAACACTGATATCGTACATGTTAGTAAACATTTTCAAGCTGCTGACAAACGATTTGTAGGCCTTAGTATTTTGTGGTATTGCTTCTCTCAGCTATAACTGCCGCCACTCTTCCGGACGTAGTTCTGATACACTTTGTCGCTATGTCAGCTACGAATTGACCTGCTTGCCCCACATTAGTGATTTTTCCATGAAAATCTGGGGTATTTGTTATTTCCGGTCCATCCCAGACCGGTCGGTTTTGTGGTTTACGGTGAGTACCACAGCAGCACCGATAACGTCATTGGGGACGAATAACCTAGAGATGCTCCGTAACAAAGCGCCCCATCGTACATAAAAACGTAATCACCGTCAGAGAATCATTCCTTGTCCTCACGCAACGTCCTGCTCTCTATAATCTCAGCATATTCTTGGTGCTCAAATGTATTTATCTGTGCTATGTGCGAAGTGTATCACCCCAGTGTCCTTTGTCAGCTATCATAGAGCACGCCATATCTTTTCATGGATGTTTGATTTCCGGTACGACGCAGTTTTCGGAATATCGTTAGCCGACATGTCTGAAGGGGCGATGGAAATTTTTTCGAGGATTTCAGTGTAAGATTCGCCCGAGCAATGGGGCTTCTCCCAGTTGTCAACAGTTGAAATTTTGACACGATTTTCCCAATGAAGGATCGAAGGGCTTGCTTTATACAAACATTCAGCTGCGATTTCTTGGTCAGCTTACTGCTTCCCTACCCATTCTCCTCGAGTTGGTGACGTAGGGTCACTGTTTTGACGAAGTAACCTGCAGTCAGTATTTTCTGCTCCCTAGTGACATCTGATTTTCTTTCCACTTGAACGTTTTACGCCTAAAAACACGCAAAATCATTGGAAGAGTACTCGAACCAGTCAAGCTCATCTGAGTACTGTTACTCAATTGTTCAACGTTGACAACGGGCATATTAGATGGTAAGGTAGGACGCGTCAGTTGTCAGCAATCACATCGTCTAAAAACATTTCCCAATGCCTTTATTGACATGCAAATGGCAGTGTAATATAGAATAACACCGCTTTGATATGCAAAATCCGGTTAAAAAGGTATCTTGGCCTAAAGTAGCGGGCTGAGTTTAGCTGAGCAGCGACTGTTTTTAATAGTCAAATACGTCTACTTCTGTGTCCGGTTAATTCCATTACTATCTGTAGAAAAAACTTCTGGCAGAAATCGACGGTGTGTTAGCAGTACATGAATTTCACGTATGGCAGCTTGCCGGCGAACGAATCATCGCGTCAGCACATATCCGCTGCAGAAGTCTTGCCGACTACATGCGTATCGCTGAAAAGGTTAAGGAGTTTTTCCACAATGAGGGCATTCATTCAACAACGATTCAGCCTGAATTTGTTGGCGCCGGAGAGTTATTTACAGACCCGAAAGACTGCTCACTGCAGTGCCCTCAAGATGAGGTAAGCAAAACAAACACGAAAATGAACAATAAACATAGGTACACATACGAAAGAAACTTTTAGCGGATTTCTCATTTCCATATTATATAGCAAGAGACCGCGCTACTGCTGTATCACCCGTAGAGGTATGATCCCCGATATATACAATAATCGAAATTACATTGTTTTTTTTACAGGTCAACAACTGCGTTCAACAACAATGCTGTCTTGTTCCTTCACAACCGAACGCGCGATCATCCCCGTCGCTTCCTCAAGTCCGAATTGTGCCCCGAGAAGAAGCATCCACGCAGACGAACATGTAACGCCTGCCGTGGAGTCGACGATAGCATCAGTTATTCAGCATAGGACCTAATAAATGCGAGGATGAGACGATGAAGGGAATAGAAGATATTGTAAGTTTTACACGGGTACTACAAGTTTTCTACGAGTACGAGTAATTACTGACGGGTGATCTCAGATTATCTACGATCAGACTAATCAAATAGCTTTAGTACAACTGAATAAACAAGAGTACGTGTGCTTTCTACGGAATATCAAATTAGACGAACGTTCATCGCTTATGCTCTCATTGTATCGCTATGTCTTTTCGCTTTTCGAACGAACGCTGTTCGTTCGTAGCGCTACGCGTAGAAAGCCAAAGCAATAGGGCATTTGGCTAGGAAGTTTTTGCCTAAAGGCTTATAGGCCCTCGTTGGCGCGCCGCTCTACCCATTGGTACAACCACGATCTTACTATTCTATTACTGCGTTCTTCTATTGCAGTGAGAGAAATTTTCGACTGTAGCAGAGAATCGCCCAGTAGGTGGATTTTCTGTTCTAATAGCTTCTGGAAACGTTCACTAACTGTGATGGAAAACTAGTAATTATTGGAGCTGGCGATAAAAATAACGAAGATGATGCGACCATGCATCTTGAACGACGACCGAAAGCAACGTAGTGCATAAGTGTATATAAGCCGCTGTAGCACCCAGCACGGGCACGAAACAACTTTTTTGGTGAGAAAGGAAGGGAGGGAGGGAGGGAGGGAGGGAGGGAGGGCGAATAGTGAAGGGGCATTTGTTTATTCGTTGTTGATCCTTGACATCGTACACATGATTATATAGAGATATGCATATATCGAATGCCATACCCCGAAAACTACATGCATCAGCCTGCCCAAAAATATCAACTACATAAACCACTATAATTATCTCGATAATATACACACACTTTCAAACAGATTGTTGTGACAATGATTGCTAACTTTGTATAACTGGTAACGGACCACAGATCTATTCTGATCGAGTGTAACATCAAGAGCAAGGAGACTTCCTCTCGCTGTTATTATCTTACAGTTATTTGCCGCTACTTATTCTTATAAATCTAAGAGACAAATAGGCATGACAGAAGCCAATTTCTCTAGTGTACTGTAATATTTATAAAAATAACGCAATGTACGCTAAACGATGCAGTTTAAATATAGTTGGTTTAGAATAAATAAGCAATACGTAAACACGAATCTTTGAACTAACAGCATGACATTAGTTTTCTGCTATTCTGATACACGAACAAAGCAAATGCTATTTCTAACCTAGCATAGGCTTTAGGAGGACATCGAGCGCCGCCGCTAGCCAATACATTCGAAGCAATTTCATCAGCTAAACCCTTTTTCACGCTTGCATCATTTGCCCAGCGCTCTTCAACGCCATCTATACCTTTTAGATAGGTAAACAACAGCTGCTTTTTGTGCACCCAATCTAGCTTAGATCAAGTTTTTCTTTTGCATAAAAATGCGACTACAGCGGCGTAACAATGCGACAAGAGACTATAATAGGTAAAGTGGGCATTTATCGTCTCGAGGCAATTCTTGTTTACGACTGCACTTTCACTCTGCCTAGTTCTTTTCAAATACCAAGATATAAAGAATAGAGCGTTTTTTTTTTATGAATGAGAGCTATATCTTAGGCCGCTGTAGCTTCAAGCGTTCTTTGCATTTGCTAAAAATGGGCCAAACGTAATCAATCGATAACTTCATTGGAGCGTTTTTGACGTTAAAGTGAATGTAGCAAGAAGGACCAAACTAGATTAAGTTAAAAGATAATTAAATTGTGTTGTGTCATTTTTACGTCAGCGTACGTAAAACCTCACCAAACCTATCGTAGGCATATGAAGGTTCTTAAAAGTAAACGAAAGATCAATGAATGAGCAATTTCTATGTGGGTGGTTTTTGTTTACGAAGACACAATACAACACGGTTTTTAAGTTCACAACACAGTACAATATTTTGTTTTACAGTTGGTATCATTAATGATTAGTATTCTTATAACCATCATTGTGAATTAGAGCATATATGAGAAAAGCAAGTACTCGAACGACTGCAAAGTCAAAAATAAAAAGTTGATGTTAAACGTTGCATAGACGAAACTTAATTGAAGAAAATTAAAACGGTCTATGGTTTTCAAAATCACGACCCATTTTTTCATACGCGTAAAATACGTCAGTAGCAAATCGATAAAAGCTGTACATTACGCAGATACTATATATAAAATGCATAGGAATTGGCTTCGCAGGATCAGCCCTCATTATAATAACTATACTAACGAATGAGATTGAATCAACACAAAAAAAACTGAGGATAAATACAACAACAGTATGTATCAGGACGCTACTTCGAGTGAGTCTAAGTCGAGGATTACCTAACGCTGCTCCATGGACATACTAACTGTGAACGTTTGTGTGGTAACGCCAAGGTAACATGGATAGGTGTAAATGTGATTCGAGAAAGGGCCAACGTTCAAAGGAGTATGTTAAAGGTTTAAGTGCAAACCTGCCTACTGAGTACTGATCGATTAGAACTTGATGATTATAACGAGCCTCTTCAAATCCAGTATTTGAACGCGTTTAAATAGTGAATTAATGAACGAATACAGTTTCGAGAGTCAACAGAAACTAAACTGATAATTGTAAGAATGGAACTAGAAGCTGGTTCCCGAGAAGAAAAAAGAACGACAAAGAAATTCAAGGAGTTAGATGATGAAACGTTTTCGACAAGAGATTCACGGCTGCTAAACGGTCAACGGCCGCAGGCGGCGCTAGTGGCTAGCTGGCTGAAGGCTTGTTGAAAGATTAATAAAGGAACAAGGCATATATAATATATATATATATATATATATCTATATATATATATATATATATATATATATATATATTTAAATGCACAAATCTAAGCGGATGTGCTGAGGTAAAACCATAGGCAAAGTGAAGTAAATATTTGCAGCACCGAAAACAAGCCATTTTGAAGCAGACTCTGCTTGTGATGGATAAACAGAGCCCCTGTTTTGCCTGAAAGAATAGGACCCAATGACAGAACGAAGGACTGATAGACTTTCACATTGATGGAGCCTTTTTCGCCATTTTCGAGGCTAGCTCCCCATTTTATAGTTTAGAGACAGTCAATGAAACACAAATGACTCATATATATATATATATATATATATATATATATATATATATATATAAGACAAACGAGTAAATAGACAAAACCTAAAAAAAATGATGGATAACCGCAAGCGAAAAACGAGCAATGTAAACAAGCATGTGTCAATGACGCAAAGGGGCTCAGTGCAGTAATAATAATTATAATCATTAAGACGGTAGCAAGAATATATGATGTTTTATAGTTCATCTGTGAAAGTGAAGATGACCCCGATGCATCCGTAGTAACTCGCCGCGTGGGCTACGTTGTGGGTAGTAGATCGTGGAACCGTATAGTTGCCAGCGGTGAAACAATCAAGAACAATTCTGACGATGAGGAAGGAATTACTTATAAAAAATAAATAGAATTAGTTCGAATGACGCTTACCCTCGTCCCTCCAAATGCGCAATGTGGCTACTTGGATAAAATAGCCCTATTGTGCTATTATTGTGAGCGCAGTATGTGCGACAAATTTAAAGTAGTAAATGTACTGATCTTTACCTAATTGATATTATTCTGCTTTTTTATGATTACAAGAAACATCTCTGCGAGTTATTCATTGAATAATTTGTTTTTCATGGTATTTATAGACCAAATGAACCTAGGCGCATTTACGCAAATATGAAGAGTGAGAGACGCTAAAATTTATTTAGATAGGCTTCCTTTTTTCAAGTCATGTAGTCGGCAGGATGTGATGACAATAATAGTCCATTGGTATTCTAGCTTGAGATAGTTTCCTCAGTTTAATTTAGTCAACGGTTAGAGGAAGCTACGAAAAATGATGAAAGAAATAATCGTCTAAGTGCAAGCTAAAATCTATTTCGATCACATCTTATCAATTCTTATGTAGATAGAACAACCGGCACAGGGTAAAAATAATTTACGACATTAACAAACGGTAGCGAAAAAAGATCGTACTCTTCTTGCTTTTATCCGTAAATTGCACGTATTTAGTAGCGGTGAACAATGGAAGTTTCGTATTGAAAAAAAATTCAGCATGGCAGCACATACGTCGATTATCATGGTTTTTCTCAGGATTTCATTTGGCAAGATTTGATTTCACCAGTTATTAGTATAACAGCGACCTGTATGAAATAGCAAAAGCTCATAGAGATAAAAAAAATTGATAAACAGACGTTCCGCATCCGTACATACTTCGTATTTGGTATATTATTAAGTTATTTTGGCGTTTGCGTTATTGTTGATTTTCTGTCATCTTATTTAACCTGTTCTCCGCACAGATTTGAATTACTATAAGAATTAGGTCGAAGCTATCGACTATGATAACTATTTAGGGGGAATCGTAAAAACAGTTGCAATAAAGCGTTAAGTTAATTTTTTAATTCAATAAAGAAGTACTTGTACTCCGTCTAACATACTTTAGGTAAAGTTCACAAGCAGAAAAATGCCCGAGTGGCCATAACAAATACAACATCGTGCAGATGCATATCGTTTGGTGGAAATACTAGTGGTGTCCCGTGTTATTGCCTTATTACAATTGAATAATTATGAAGACCTTTCGATGGAGATCCTTTTAATCGACGCGCATCAAGAGAATCTTACGTTAGTGGACGACAAACTGCAAAATGATGACCTTACAAAGTCAGCAAAATAGGACAATCTGCGATTACCCGCGTGGCAGGGGTATTCTTTGAGCGTTCTGACCCAAACTGAAGCTTGCCATTAACATCTTATCTTACATGCGACAGACGCTCAGTGGCAATGCAGATTGTTCGTATCTATTCGTAAGCGGACACCGAATCCGTGACCTGAGTCTACTAGTGGAAAAAAATGGAAGAACCTGTAAAACGCCATCCAACAGGAACAATCTGTTGAGTGTCCTGAAACGCCGTCCGGCGAAGTACCGAATAGGGCTAAACCCATAAGCAAACATACGCCAATTCGACCTGACGACTGGTATTTCTCGAATTTCAGTCGCCCGAGGCCTAATTAGCTTATTGCAAGAGACGTAGCGATCTTCTAGCGTCTAGCAAAGGTAAATGCTTGCAGTGGTGAGCTTCAGAGAAGCTGAGTGAGATGAAACGCATTGGCATTCTATCTCGGGTTACTTACCTTATACTTTTTTTACTTTGTTCTATAATTGCTTTGTTATTATTCTTTGAAAGTAAATTATTGATAGTATGGATGGATTTGAAAGCGTCCACCGCTAAGATTATCGCGCTAACTTTCACAGTAAAGGCTGTCTTGGGGTTCGATATCAGTCAATTATATTAAACTAATCAGCTAGCCGTGGTCAATATCTAAGCGTGTTGTCATAATTATTGTTATGAAGATATAGTTTATTTACGAACACTTATCACTTTTTAGGGTCTGTTCACTCACAAAATTGGTGACGATACATTAGATTCAAGCTTATTCGAGGTAGTAGTATTTTGGAGCTTTTCGAAGCAATGACATGTACTCATTTTCATTTCAATATATATCAATATTCAGTTATTATGATTCACACAGTCCATAATAATCTAATACGTCTACGGACCATAGAGATTGCAAGGGATGTTTCTTATAGTGTAAGGAGTTATTTTT